TGATGTTTTCTGCATTTCTCAAGTATTCAAAAAGTTCTTGTCTTGGTTTAAATTATGGTAGTATGACACATGACTTAGGCATCTTAATTTATTAAATCAAAAGTGTGGGCTAATGTTACTTTTTGAGTCACAGGTAATAATGGCAGAGGCATGCTTGATACTACGTGGAAAGCTTAACGGGACAACGACATGATAGAGTCCAAACTGAAAGTCAAGCTGTAAGCACTTAAAGCTAAAATAAAGGCGTTCTGTCCGGTTATAGGCCATTTTACAGTTTTGTGCTTAGTTACTTGTCCATGAATGCAACGGAGGCTGAGTGTGACCTGGCTTTGATACAGACCTCTCTGCTTTTCTCGTGTAAATACAAACTAGTTAATATAAGAACAACTTGATTTACACAACAAAAACAGTCATGAGTTCTTTATCAAAACAAGGTCACCTCCAGTCTCGCTGCAATTCAAAGGCCATTTCACTGAACAGACAACTGTAAAATGGTCTATTGAGTACAAAGCAAAATTATTTACCTACAGAAAAATCAAAACTAACTTTAATACGTGTGGTACACATAACATAAAGTGTGCTATTTCCTTTGTAAGTCGATCTTTTGGTCTACGTACAAATATAGTTATAATTTACAGACGACGTATCCTTGGTGAATGCTTCTCATTTGCAGGGCGTCATCTATTGATCTTTCTTTTATGTATCCTCCGTTTTAGCTTTGTTATTTTTCTTAGCTCCATCGCAGCGTTTAGTTCCTAGAAGAAATCGTCGCACAACCTGAAATTCAAGCAACATCCGTCGTCAATGGAAAAAAAGAATTTATTACGTAACGTGGATTTCGATAGACTGTACTATCAGAGATGAGAATTCAATGTAAAGGATAGTGCTGCTGGATACATTTTATAGCTTTGGTTTTGAAAGAGGTAAGCAAAATGTGATTTGCAATACCTTCACCTTAAAAGTAAGCAACCAGAAAGTAAAAAGCGTTGCCTGAATCACCGTCACAGGCTCATTTATTTCCCTTATAAAAAGTCATATTTCCTCCTTTTGCGGTAACTTTTCGCAAAGTACAACAAGCATTACACTCCCCCGATATGCAGCCTGCAAACGCCCCCCCCCCCCNATGTATCCTCCGTTTTAGCTTTGTTATTTTTCTTAGGTCCATGGCAGCGTTTAGTTCCTAGAAGAAATCGTCGCACAACCTGAAATTCAAGCAACATCCGTCGTCAATGGAAAAAAAGAACTTATTACGTAACGTGGATTTCGATAGACTGTACTATCAGAGATGAGAATTCAATGTAAAGGATAGTGCCGTTGGATACATTTTATAGCTTTGGTTTTGAAAGAGGTAAGCAAAATGTGATTTGCGATATCTTCACCTTAAAAGTAAGTAGCCAGAAAGTAAAAAGCGTTGCCTGAATCACCGTCAGGCTCATTTATTTCCCTTATAAAAAGTCATATTTCCCCCTTTTGCGGTAACTTTTCGCAAAATACAACAAGCATTAAACTCCCCCGATATGCAGCCTGCAAACGCACCCCTCCCCCTCCCACCCACTTGCTGGCGTGTTAAATGGGAAGTGTAATGGTTGTTGTATTTTGTGAAAAGTTACCGCAAAAGTAGGAAATAAAACTTTTTATAAGGGAAATGAATGAGCCTGTGATGGTAATTCAGGCAACGCTTTTCACAAGAAGTTACAATTATCGAGTTCAGTTGTGCATGTCGTAAAAGCTTTTGTACAAAGCATCGTTCAGATTTGTTGAAACTGACCTACATTTGTGGTCACTTTAATTTCTGACTGTAAACAGCCGTCGCTATGACCGTTGCTACGTAAAAAACTTTATATCACTGTGTACTTTCCTTGAATATCACAGTCATCTAGTGGCAAATTCAGCAAGATCGTTTTAAAATGCTTTTTACAAGTGTTAAAAGGTTTTAAATCTTATATTTTAAAAAAAAAAAAAAAAATTGCATTTTTGCCCAACGTCGTCATTTCTTATGCCTATCGGGCCACCTAAAGTTAATAAAAACCTATTATTCAAATAAAACGCCTAGTTATCTGGGAGACATCATTACGTTAGGATGCGACGAGGGATGTAGCTGAGATTTTCGCGGATTTAACAAACACTAGAGACCTTTAATTCCACGTTTACCGCAAGCGTCTAACTTCGGTTTGATTTGACATTAGATGTTTGCCGTTCACCGTTCGTACGTCAGTCGATTTAGATTGCAGTAAACTGGAGGCGCGGTGCCCTCATGGTTAGTACGCTCGTCTCCGGATCGAGCGGTCCGGGTTCGAGCCCTGGCCAGGGACATTGTGTTGTGTTATTTGGCAAGACACTTAACTCTCACATTGCCTTTCTCCACCCAGGTGTATAAATGGGTACCGGCTGGGGGTAACCCTGCGATGGACTAGCATCCCGTCCAGGGGGGAGTAGAAACCGGGATAAGCTCCGGCCTGATGGGCCACTTGGCTCGCATGCAGACTTTACCTTTACCTTAAACTGGAGCCGGAATAGAAGTCATTTTGTCAATGCATTGGAAATTGTCAAAGGTACGCCAAGAAAAAAGAAAAAACAAATTTTAAAAAAAGAGTATGTTTTCTAGCATGCGTAGCTTTCTTACGAAATAAAGCATCATAAAACACACATTGACTTAAGCCGCCGCCATATTGGATTACCACTTAGAATCAGTGCCTTTCCACAAACAACAACAAAAGGCTAGGTAATTGTTTATTTACTTAAATTTTAACCAATTTGTGGGAAAAGAGTTACTTTATTCGATTTCAGCGTTTGTACGTGGCATAAAATAAAATTCAAAGCAATAAAACCTGAGGTAAATGGCTTACGTGAAAACCTACCTCTCCAGGCTGAAAACGTGATTCGAAAACGTCAAACGGGAAGTCTGGCTCTGGTCACGTGACACCTAGCCGTTTGCGGTAAACGTGGCAATAAAAGTCTCTAAGGTTTACAGCTAGCTTTTGTAAGACACTTACTGCTATATTACGTGGTGCGCATGCGCCAGTCGTAGTTGGCAAATTTACGACTCCAGCAATGTCAACAGTATTCAATAGCTTACAGGTCTGGTTTCCTGGTCCATTGAAAATGTATTTGTCACAGCGAGGATGACGAAGACAATTATCCAAACATTGTATCTCAGTCCAAACGGAATGTACTGCAACCACATTACCGGTACAACCCGATTTCTGAAAGACTTCGTCTCTATCTGGTCGATTGTCGCATCCTTTAGTCACAACTGAAAAATACGTATATAAAGAAAGAATTCAGGATTGAATTTACCGTAATAGCAGCAGCTTTAGACTTAAAAATGTGTAAAAAAAAAAAAAATGGCCTAATTTTTATACACCTTAGGACAACAGTGATCCACCTTGGCAGTCGGGACCTGGGCACGACAAGAAGGTGACTCTCAACTAGATTCTGGAACCAAGATTTTTGCCTTTCACTGACGCTAACAGAGGATCTTTTCGGGAAGGAAACCATAATTGAATTAGTGAATATATCCTTATTCAAGAATCTAGCCGATAAAATTATGCGTCTCCAAGGCTACCTTTTACTCGTGCCAAGGCCCAGACGGCCAAGGTTGACAAGTGACTTTCGAAGAATTAGAGGACCATGGGAGCGAGGATGTAATTCTAGTAAAGATGACAAGCATTTAAGAGTTGGTTTTTTGTCTTCTTTATAATTTTAAGTGGATGTGTGAAAGTTTTGCTATAACTGCGTCGATATTTAACGTTCCGTAGATCCGCTGAAATTATTTGTTCTTATGTAACTGAAGATAATTTAGGAAGTGTTGTTAAATGTGTTTACATGAAGCTTTAAAAAATCGTGTCTGGGTCTCTTCGCTTTCACAGTCTGAAGGCAATAATAGTGGGAAAGAGAAAATTATTTCTTTCGATCTCAATATACTCTATGTTCGGTATGGTGGAGTTAATTAAACAGCTGGAACGTGCCATATATCGATTGTATTATTTTGCCTCGAAACTAAAAAAGGTTTCGAAACCTGTCAAGAATTAATTTACCATACCAGCGTAATTTCCCATTCCTTCTTAGTGTCCCTAGCAAAGCTTGTGTCACAGCTTTGGCCTAAAAGAACAGTCTTTTCTAAATCACCATACTCACCGACATTAATGCACACCAGGGCGATCCAGACGAAAGCGGAAATTTTCAAAGTGCTTCCCCGAGAGCGAGTGAGGTTCGAGGCTAAAATAAAAAGTTAAACATCCATATTAAATAAATCTTCGAGTATGTTTTCCTTCCTCTTTTTAACCAACGAAGGAGAAGTGATAATTGAGTGAAGTCCGGTTTTTTCCAAATATTTTTTGCGAGGGTATTTGAAAATTCTATCATCCTATACAACAAATTCGTAAACGCTATGTTTTGGAAGGGTTCGAAATCATGCCTTCCGTGCATGCCACTGGCACAAAAACAAATTAATAACTCTAATACTCACTCATGTTCGGTTTAACCAATTTCCCGCAAGATTCCCTAAAATTCCACTAAAAATTAAACACCCATTTACTGCAGACGAACATTTTGTAAATGAATTTAGCCAGCGTGTTTCTTTTTGTCAGCGGATGTTGTTTTTACGTCTCAAATGTCAATTCACCTGTCATCTTATGGGCAGACGTTTTAAAAAATTGCTTCCCGTTGTCATAATTATTCATAGTATTATCACTTTCCAATACCGTTTCAGTGAATATAATAGTTATATAGGAACTCGATCTCTTTCGAAACGAGAATAATATGTCTAAACTAAATAGCTTGGTAAGCTTTTGAAAGGGATTTTTCAGCCGAGCTTAATGTGACAAAATATACTTTGACGTAATCTAAGTTACATAAGGTGAACTGCAAAATTAGCATTCGTTTGTTAGCGTTTTGCCTTGAACCTACTCCAAAGTCAATGCACTGTGTTAACAAGACTGTCAAATGCCGCCAACCACGCTAAAATACTGGCAAATTATGTTGTTTGTAACCACCTGCCTTGCCTTCTTCCCTGGCTCGTTCGCAGGCGCCGTTCCATCTTCTCGGCCAAAACCTAAGGAAAAATAATTGGGAGCGTGGACCGTGATGATAAGCTACTACAAGTCCACAACTCCACACTCACCGAGATCCAACCAATGAGGGCAGCCTGGGGATGAGTTGGCCTCTTGTGAAGTTGACACCAGAGATAACTAGAGATTTGATTGAGATGGCGAGTACGGAACTAAAGGCTGGGCTCGAGTTTATATCTGTTCTTGAAAATAGTTACATGACCGAGAACACATTATCGAAATCAAAAGAAAAAGCGGGTGAGAACCAGTTTCAGTAGCGGCAACTGACTACGACGTTTTTGTGCGGTTTTCACTTTGAGTGTCAAAACTAATTCGAATTTGCTTTGGTTCTACGTTCTACGCTTTGTCATCCAATCAGAAGCAATATAAAACCAAAACCAGCGGTGACGCGCTTGCACACGTTTTCCCGCGCTTTGCGTCAGATACATCTATTTGCTTCGAGTTCTGATTGGTTCACTGGATTGCCTTGTCCTTTGTGATTGGTCACAGTGACAACTTTGTTTGTTTGTTTGTTTGTTCTTTTGAAGTCACCTAATAGAAAAACGTTCTATCATTAAAATACTGTTAAGATGTCATAGGATAAGTAATACATCTTCACTGTCACATTAGCCACTCGATGCCGAGCTACGGATAAGTTGTGGGGAAAAAATCTTGCCCGGGCAATGAGTTGTGAATACAAGCAGGATGGAAAAAGCTTTTTGCCGACAGTTCTAGCAAAACTTCGCGAAAAGAGGGGATAAAATTGGAAAGCAAGACTTAAATAGGTTCATGAGGGTCCCTAAGGACTAACAACGGTCTAAATGACCAGAATAGGGTGGTGAGAATGTATATCAATAGCACGGCATTAATTCGTGATCATTCCAGCAGTAAAGCTGGTGCTTCCCAAGGGCTTTGCTTCGTCTTTAAGCCCTTACTAAACGGACTCACAAGTAGTCGCAAAAAGCCGCAAGTTGAACTTGCGTGGAGACTTACGTTGAATGGCCTAACGGACTCGCAAGGTTCCTCTCAAGTACAAGCAAGTTGCAAAAAAAAAACATTTCAAGGCTTTCAAGGCTGCATTTCATGGGCTAACAGGTTGCTTCAACAACGAATGAACGTCACTTGCGTTGACTTGGGATGGGTGGGAGAAGTTAAAAAAGGTGCGTCGACTTGATCTTGGCCAAAGTGGGCGCAAATCATAGCACGTCAACGCAAGTACACGCAAGGCCTGGCAAACGGAGTTGCAAGCAGACCCAAGTTTTCAACCTGAGTCCACTTGCGAGTCCGTTTGGCCAGGAAATTAAACAGCTAAAAGATGTGCACAGAAGACATGTTAATAACTGGTTTAATTTCTTTAAAAATGAACGGTACAAGGGACATTCTCGATTTGAAAAAAATTCATTTCTAATTTCTAGAAACACGAGTCTCTGGATTAACGTTTGAATGAGATCAGGAAGGCATACATCAAAGCCAGATAGATATATATATACTTTTAAATTGCAAGGAAACTTTAATGCTCTTAATTATCCAACCCAACAGATTGAAATTTTTGAATTTGAATAAAAGGACTATCTG